ATGGTTGGTGACCTCCACAGTCAACAGATCCCAGTTCAACAAGCATCTTTAGGATGTGGTGGAGCGACAGACTCTCATTATGAATGTGCAGCTGACAAATCTGGACTGACACTCAAAGCCATAATACAACACGTCTCATTCATACAAGCACTTACTCTATGCTTTGAAATGCTTTCTATTTAACATTCAGACACATTCATACTCAAATGGATGCATCGAAGAACAGCTTGGTATCTTGCCCAAGGATACACGCAGACTGGCCAACCTTCCAGTCAGTAGATGATCTAGTCTACCACCTGAGCAACAGCCACCCCATACAGTGTGATGGGGTTAGGGGTGCTGTCGTGCAAATGTGGACCAGAATGGTTCCAGCATCTTGTTAAATCTGTGCCTTTTCTAAGCAGCATTTGTATTTTTCTATTCTTTAACTTACTGCTCTGACTGAGGTCGAGCCCGTTGTCCAAACAATTGTGTTTTGACCTGGGCTAAAAGTCGATGTTTGAATCAACTGTTATTACTGTTGACAGAGACCAAGTGGAGATAATCTTGCATAAGAGCACAAAGGAATTTGTGCTTTGATGACAGAGTGATAAAGTCACAGCTGTGCAGTCACAGCAAACATCAGGTATAAATAAACAGTGCTGAGTAGAGTGCAATAAGTGACCATAGGTGTGTGAGGTCAGCATACAGGCAGAGTAGAGCCAGTGTGACTCATTCAGGAGGTTGGATTTATAAAAGAAAAGCAAACACCCACAGTGGTGTGGACCATCATTTGATCTGTTAATACCTGGTTAAAGCATGTGTCTGTAGCTGTAATGCTTAAAAGTATAAAAGGTAAATTAAAAATTTGGAAGTGAACAGCAACAAGATCAACTGTTTGATTTCTCACCGATTTTTACACTGGCTGCCATCAGAACTACTTTAACTCTGTTTAACATAGAGTCAGCAAGGCATTAAAAATGTTCAGTTGGTGAGCCGGTGTGAGTTGTAGCCTCAGGAGTTGCATCCAATGTAGTCTTCTGCTGCTGTAGCCCATCTGCCCTAGCCCAAGGTTGATGCTCTTTTGTCTGCCTGTCAAGAATTAGTCGACTCTGCTCATTCAAAAAGGAAAAAATAGAAGGTAGTCCACTCCATGTTTTGGGAATAACTTGTCCATTCCAGTCTAGTTAATTGGACGAATTAACAACTTCGCGTTTTCAATTTTATATGGGAGATATATTCACCGCTGATGATT